TTTTTTTAATGATAATAACCACATTTGGTTCGTATGGAGCCTCACGATAGCGCCCACTGAATTGGGCTTTTTTTTACTAAGTCAAATAAAAATCAATCTTAAGTATTCCTCAAAATATCAGAGAAGTATAGCTATTGTGAAATACTGATAGTCCACAACAAACAACGCCTATCACATTTACTACTCGAACGATTTTAGCAAGAGCAGCACGATTTTATTGCCGAAGCTAAAGAGGCTGCTGAAAAGAAGAAAGAGCACGATAAGCCAAGCACTAGTGTGGTGGCAGTTATGACTGGAGAAGAGAATGATATCAACATTTTTCAGGTTAGTTTTTTTTATAACTTTCTATTTGGGGTTTTTTTGCGTTTTCAAATAATTATTGTTCGCTATTTGGTTTTCAAAATTGCATATTCCTTCATTACAGACTGCTTGCAAACTACACTCATTTGACAAAGAGAAAAAGACATGGGTTGAACGTGGGCTTTCACTAATCAGGTTAAATCAGAGGAATGAAGATGGAGAAGTGCATCATCGTATTGGTAAGCTTCCATTGGTCTTAGAACAATTGTTCTTTTGTAGGCGTTATTTAATGCTTTCATACTTACATTTTAGTGGCTAGAACTACGGGTAATCATCGTGTTGTTATCAACTCCAAAATTCACGCGGATATGCTTTTCGATCGAGTCGATTCAAAACGATTGAAAATTAGTGCCACATCTCCGGATTCTAATGCAATGCAGATATTTCTTGTGACCATTGGTTTCTCTGTGAGTTTTGCTTTGATGTACATATTTTTCAATTTATTCCAATACTGTAAATTCAGAAAACTGCTTTGAATAGTGATGAGTTCTGTACCACTTTGGAGGGCCTTATCAAGAAGGAAAAAGCTAACGAGGCTTTAAAGAGGAAGAGGAAGGTTTGCCTCAGAACTATATGTAATCTTTTGGACCTTTCTCAAAATTGGAACTTTATCTCTTTTTGACCCCCCAATCTTTGGTCTTTGGCGGTTTTCTCTTCTCATCGTTATTACGTTGCGGCACTTTCAGGCGAGCGACGAACACGAAACTGAAAAGGTTGCCAAGATGAGAATAAAGGGTAAGGACGGATCAGATGAAGAAGGTTCAACAGAGGAAAATCGAGACGTGGTCTCTCCTTCGGTAGAAAGTGGGAATGCTGAGGAAAATCAGAGTCTTCAAGATCTTTCGGCAGCAAAAGATGAGGACACTAAAGCGAGTAGCTGTCCAGAAAGTTCATCTGAAGGGAAGCAACAGCCGATAAACACAGAAGAGACTGCTGCATCTTCAGGATAAGAGTTCCTAAGTTTCTTCACGACAGCCCTCATTCTCAACACAGTTCACAGTTACCTTTTCCTTGTATTATTCTTTACATGTTGTTTTTATGGCATATCTAAGTTAGCAACTTGTTGTACTTTCACTGTGAACTTTTGACTGCTTACGGAGACACTAAGTTGGGTATCTTGTCACAAACTTTTTAGCGAGAAATTGGGACATCCTTTATCAGGTAACTGTTATTTGGGTGCCTGCGGATTCAGAATTGTTCCTAACGCTCAATATCTGATTTGATTGGCATGCGGTACTTTACAAAAATGGTCTTCCCTTTTTTATATTGCTGCAGCCTGCATGGAAGCTCTCGCCGGTGATATTGAATGTTTTTACATTTGACTCAGTTGATCTCATTAGGTGAGTCTGCGAAGTCAAATTTTGTTCTAGATCTTAACATTTTATCTTATTGTGATAAACTTATTCTGAAGGTGAAATCACCGCTTGAATTTATATCGCTCGGGGTCTTGGATCTCATAGTGCCGTTCCAGGCTGGGCTAACAAAAGTAACACACTTTCTTATAGTGTCAGGAGTACGACATCGTGAGACAGATTAATGTCTGTATCCTAAAGTAACCGCCGAGCAGATGAAAGCTTCCTGCAACAAATGGTGCAAACGTTGTTGAGAAGAGGCTCACCTCTAAGATGGCCACCATACACTTCGAAATTATTCAAAAATAGAAAGTGCGGCAGTCTATCAAATATTTGGTTTAGCTTAAGTTTATTAGCAAACTGTAGTTTAAAAATGCTGATTAACAGAAATATTTTTCATAAGATGAGCTGGTAACATCTCCTGGTTGCTGAAATGTGATATTAAATTGGAGTCGGTACTGGTGGCGGCCTTTATGAACGATATCTATTGCCAGCTGCTAGTTTGGGACGCGTTCGGTGCATAGCTCGGCGCACAAAATAATCACACTCACCTTACTAGTACTTTATTCAAGGTTGTCAAGCCTTCGAAAAACTTGTAAAGATCAAAACAACATGAAAGTTGCGTAAAAATTTATTCCTTTTTGCAAATGTTCCATAACTTTACCCGAGCCTACATATAACAATTCCTTTGGATGTTATTAGTTCTTTAAGAAGATGTTTGATGTTTTGAACATAACCCCCATTTAAAATGTTTTTCCAACAATTTTAGATTAAATAGGCATTTTCAGCTAGATCCAAATCTCTAAGGTATCTATCACTGTTCGATGAGGGATTATCAGCATAGTGATCTTAATTTTAGTGATAAATGACGATGTTAGATTTAAAAAATATGTGTGTACTACGCGGGGTGAAGCCATATTCATGAGCTTTTTAGCTGCTCGAAACTCTAACAAAATGAAAACTTCATATCGCGAGA